AATAATGAAAAACAATTAGAAATGACTGTTGGCATGAAAAACTATAAGCCACAAGAAATCAAAGTGTCAGTTAAAAATAATGAACTTATTGTTCAAGGTGAACATCGACATAAAGATGCTAATCGTACAGAACGATCATTCTTCTTTAAATCAACAGTTTTACCACCTGGAACACAAGTTGATCAGCTTCAATCACATTTAACTGATGATGGTCAATTAAAGATTGAAGCACCATTTGTTGAACAAAAGGAAGCTCCAAAATCAATTGAACCAAAAGAAGCACCAAAACCAGCTGAGACTGAGAAAAAGCAAGGTGATAAATAATCATGCAATAGACAATTTAATTATTCTTTTTTTTTTCTTAATTGTATGAGGGTTCAGTTTTCTTTTGTCACATCGTAATTGACAAATAAAAAAGAATCAAATTCTAATCAATGATCTTCTTTTTAAGTACTACGCAATGTAAAAATTGTATGAACGCTGCTAATAAGTTGTTGAAAACAAGCTTCGAAATATTTCAAATTTTACAAGAATGATAAACAAGTAATGATGGCAGATTATTGAAAGTATTTTTGAAAAAAGTACAATTTGCTAGTTTTGAGCTTGCTGTTTTTCTTTAATATAATTTTCAAGTTTCATAATATTGACTTTTTTTAGTGTGCAATGATTGACCTAGTTTTTATTTTGATCAGTTCCCAGTAACCTCTACGAGGCGCGTGTTCTTCATTATTCCCTGAATGACGTAAACACAAGATTAGTTTTCAAAGAACATGCATGTGAATCACAGAATCGCGAGAATGTCAAACAACTAACAAATAAGAATCGCTCCTTCACAGTTTCATAATTGCTAAAATTCAAATAATAGATTATTCACAATATTTTTCACTGTCACATCGTCAATAATCAAGTATTGTGTGAATGAAATAACTATTGCTAGAAAAATGCATTACTTTAGCTATTAGGACTAAGGTAGCTGTGAAACAACCATACTAAAAATAGAAAAATATTTAATGCATTTCATCTGGAAGTAAAT